TTTCTCAAAAGGTTTAGTTGTTCTACTGCTCTGACCGTGTAAAGTGTGCTTCCGTTATGAATACTTCAACCATAATTAACTGGTACACTAATGTCCGTATGTGTCCGTGGGCGAACTTCAAACAGTGGCAATGCACGTGCAGTGCTTAGCAGCTGCGTGCCTGCAGTGATCCTTGGCAGCCCTGCTTCTATTTCCACCCATGAACAAAATGAGTATCTGAAATTATAATCTAAACCTCACACAATGTAGATTCAGCCTAATGTCAGTCCAGAACGTGGTGGGTCAACATTAGAAAAGACGAGACAAAATAGTCAGGCAACGGGGGATGGTCAAACGACGCATTCATTCCTGCCCCCACTCATATTCTAATGTGCGACATAAGTTAGCAGTCTATAATCCTAAATGAGGATGGTCTTTCAAAAATATGTACATACATTTCCGGATTAAATAGCTTGCATATAAACCATGAGCTTTAACAAGATGAACCTGGTGGATGGTGATGTGGTTGAAGAGCATAACAATCATAAAGCTGGATGGATGGTTGATGACATTTACAAGCAGAGCTCTGTTCTGTCTCGGCATCTCCTATCATTCAGCTCATTGGCTCATTGGCTGAATGATCGGAGATTCTGACCATAATCCACCCAGGGGTGGAAAGTCAAGAGTACAGTACAGTAATAATCCCACAACACGAGCTCTCACCATGAGAATGTGGAATGTCCACATCCCCATGCTTGCTGCTAATGGGAATGACCATGTTTTATGCTGATTTGACCAAAATTGTAGTTTGTTTAATCGGGTGAGAACTCACGACACCAGGATGGTCTCATTTGCTAGTGACCTGAAAAAAAATGATCAGATAAACATTTTGGCTTTATTTTTTATTTAGCACATTTCTTGTGATCCGCAATTAATTGATCCCCTAACATTTTTTATCCAATGCAAATTCAGTTGTTTTCAATAAACCTTACTTAAAACACTAAGTTTTCCAGAATTAAATTGGAGTCACATGAAATCTGGACCACCATGTACAACAGTGATTCGATATTTTTAGGAAAGCTAGTTGTTTTAGTACGTACGCAGGTTAAGACAATACAGTTATGAAATTCAAACTGTGAAGAATAGAGGGCTTGAGCAGGATAAGTCGCCAGATGGGATGATGACTGGTCGTCGAAAATAGTGCAGGAGTACATCTTCTTGGTTCTTTCGGTAAAGTCACATAAATAATAAAAATAAAACATAATAAAATAAGAATTATTTTATTAATAATAAAATAAGAATTATTTTATTATGTTTTATTTTTATTATTTTATTACTTCCCTTCTATGTGACTTTACCGAAAGAACCAAGAAGATGAATCCCTGCAGTCACGAAAGCTTTAAATCGAAATTTAGTGCAGGAGTAGCAGTCAATTAATTAGATAGCTTCCGAGATTACGCATCCAGAGGAGATGGAGCGGTGAAATCTACACGCGTGCAGGTGATGTGTGGACCGTTGAATCGCTGGATCGCAGTAGAAAGAAAAGTTTCTTGGCAGTGCTTTCATCAAGAAGTGGATTGACCACGGCTGACGATCAAGTTCTTTTTAATTGTTATTGAGTTTTTGGTTTGTATTTGGTAATACTTGATACCTTGGCAACATATACACTGTATAAGACATTGCCCTTGTAAACAGGATCATCGCTCACCTGCCTAACCGCCCAAACCGGGTTCGCAGGCGTGAGAAGGGGATTAATTGGGTGATTTATGGTGTTGCTTGTGACGTGTATTCCTCGTGTCCGCCACACCCCACAGTGGAATGCTCAAGGTCTCAGCGTGTCTGGTTAAACCGGTGAGCGAGACGGAACTGAGCCAACGATCTTTGCATTTTGAAAAACATTCTTACGTATTGCAATGGATTATTTGTTAAGTTTACAGCATCGTAGCCTACTTTGCATTGAGTTTAAACCCTCCTAAGTAGGGTAATGTCACCACCTTGCGGAAAACAAACGTCCCACTTTAGACTTAAAAGTGGAACGTTTAGACCTTTTCTTTAGACCTTTTCTTTCCACCTGAAGAAGACGGCTTATGTTGCGATCGAAACGTCGTGGGTTTTTTGCTTTTAATTTTGATTTTTTGTTTCTATCTACGTGACTTTGCCGAAAGAACCAATAATATAAACGTCCCACTGTTATTTTGCAGTGCAAATAAAGTGCGATTAAAGTACAGGATAGCCAACACACATTGCATGACGATTTATGAAGATGGATTTTTAAAATACAACTGTTCAATCGAAGCATTGGCTCAGAAACTTTTGCTCCCAATGTAATTATATATCCTATCACCAATTTATGTCAATGTCGACACAATTACTGCATGTGATTGTTAATGCTGACACTGTGTGATTGGTTTTGAAATAATATGTCCCTTGTGGGAATATTTTCACATTTACGTCTGGTGTCAATTACTTTTCCATGGTATTTTAAATTAAAATTGTATTATCGCGCGACTCTAAGTAAGTGTTTATGTGTCTCTCTCTCAAGAAAGCTTTCGCTTGATTCCATACTTGGGTATGATTCACTTATCTGCTGGGACTGGGCTGACCACCTGTGCTAGTTTTCCTATAAATGTCTTCTTTTGGGTAACTCTTTTGGAAAATCTATTTCTTCCCAGAACATAAAACATCCTGTTGTCAGTTGCACAATATGTAATATTACACGCAAGACAATGCATTGAAATGTAATTTTCCCTTCTATCAGTAGTGAGTTATTTGTTCCCATGTTATGTACCATTTCTTTGTAACTCCGAGATGGGAACCCTTTCTGGAACATCTTGTCACATGCACAAAACCGCATAAAATTTAAATATTATAAATAACGAGAAAACGCATCACAACAAAAATAATATAGTGCAGGCTGGAAAACAAATATATTAAAAAAAAACATACACAGATGTGCATTTCGTCATTAAACCATTCGGCCGTATACGTTATGCAAAAGCAATCGTTGAGATCAAATGCATTGTGGTATTTTTGTTGATAGTGGGCTGATGTAAAAATGGCCTCAATGCAGTTCTTCTGAACTAGTGGTTTCGCATACTCATTCGATTTATAAATACAGCAGCCCTTGCAATTCCCTTCTTCATGCTCCTTGCGCCCTCTGCTGGCGGCGCCATTCATTGTGAATAGGGACCGGCCGCCTTTGTATCTGTGGTGAGAAGCAGCTGTTATTCTTAGGTTTTTTCGGTAAAGTTTTTTCGGTAAAATATGAATCCTTGCAGTCACGAAAGCTTCAAATCTAGAAGCAGCTGTTATTTAATGGTCCAAGAAGGGCCATTGCCCATGACGTCGTCTATGATGTGTTTTATTCCTTTTTAAAACCACAGCGATATTGATTAATGTCTGGCGAAAATATACATTTCGTAAAATAAGATCTGCATTGAAAAATAAGACATTTATTTTTTGACGAGAATGAGAAAACTGCAGTGTGACATGTAAACACAACACAATAAACTAAACGACGGTATTTTTTATTTTACCAGGTAAGACCCATTTAGCAATGAAATTGCCCACAAATGATGACGAAGTGGCTTATCGCGTGGATATTTAAAGCAGTTAAATACACATGGTTCTAAATGTGGAGTGAAACCCCGGAGAACCCGGGGAAAAATCCACGCAACCACGCACAGAGAGACCCGCAAACTCTAAATATACAGGGGTAAGGGTCGGGATCGAACCCACGGCCTCCTGTATACCAGGTGAGGTAGTTAACATCTCACCAGCAGGGCGCCCATATTTGGTTTGGTCTCCTTTGCGGATGTGACATGTGGTCAATTACAAAGATTCTGCAAATCTAACTTCAAAGCAATAGAAACGCGGTGTTTAAGAAGGGAGGATGTTAAACATTTCATCGGCAAGATGAGTAACGTAAATGTATTACGGATAGTAGCAGGTACACGACAAGAAAACGAATAAGACTACTTGGATAAAGGCGAGTAATCATTATTGGACATGTAATGAGAAAACAAAAGACAATATAAACATTTGGACTAGGAAAATTATAGGCACAACATGAAGCCGGGAAAAAGAGCAACTTAAGTACATGAGCAAATTAAACAACTCAAAATCATCCAAATATGTATTTATGCTGGAGGAATCCGATGAGCTATGAAGCCCGTTTTCACAGATACCCCGAATTGGATGCAACTGGGAGTATATCATTAATAAATATCATTGACAGAGCCAGTGCCGGATTAAGCCAGTGCGGGGCCTTTAGCTTATGTTATAAAGGTGCCCTAAATAATAAAAAAACACAAATATTAAAACACATACATTTTTTAATTGCAAAGTAAAGTAATTATATTTTAAAATTTCCTATACAGCCAGATGATACGACAAATCGCTAACCTTACACACCCAGTCGTTCATAAAAGTTGAAGGCAGTACTGTATAGCAGAGGTGTGGACTCGAGTCATGTGACTTGGACTCGAGTCAGACTCGAGTCATGAATTTGATGACTTCAGACTCGACTTGGACTTGCATAACAATGACTTTGTCCCACCTCTGAGGTGTGGACTCGAGTCATGTGACTTGGACTCGAGTCAGACTCGAGTCATGAATTTGATGACTTCAGACTCGACTTGGACTTGCATAACAATGACTTTGTCCCACCTCTGCTGTATAGTACTATAGTAATAGAGCAAGTGCAGAGTTACTGCACCGGAATTGATAGCTTGAACGCATTTAACGCGAGGCCCTTGAAAGTGCGGGGTCCGGAGCATATGAAGCTACTTTTGCTACTCGGATAATCCGGCACTGGGCAGAGCTCAATGGAAGGAGACCCGCAAGGTCATCGATATGGCACCGAGGGGCCAAAGGCTTCGTTTGTTTCACGCGTGCCCGCGCACCACAGCCAACGCATGTGCGCGAACATTCGTCCGAGAAACGTCGAGAAAACACCCAGCCCTTGCGCTTTGTTGTGCTGACAGAGGCGACCGGTGACGTCAACGCCCTCGTGACGTCACGTCGCGGAAATTCCCGGACGACGACGACGCCTCCGCTAACACCGCCGCCATCTGAGCTCCGTGGCGCGAAGGGGATTCTGAAGTCGCCAAGAAGAACCGCGGACGACGACAAACTTCGACCATCATGAAGCCGATTCGAGAGCGCGGCTTCTCGAGCAGCTGCTGCTTCTGTTTCCATGTGCGAACCGGGGCGATCGCCATCGGGGTCGCCTACCTGGTAAGGGCCGCGCTCGGGCCTAGGGGGCAACGCCACCCAACCACAACCACATCCTCCTCCTCCTCACAGTACACACCCACATCCTCCTCACAGTACACACCTCGCCTGTGTGCCCCAGGCTCCACACAGTACACACCTCGCCTGTGTCTCCCTGGCCCCACACAGTACACACCCACATCCTCCTCACAGTACACACCTCGCTTGTGACCCCCTGGCTCCACACAGTACACACCCACATCCTCCTCACAGTACACACCTCGCCTGTGTCCCCCTGGCTCCACACAGTACACACCCACATCCTCCTCACAGTACACACCTCGCCTGTGTCTCCCTGGCCCCACACAGTACACACCCACATCCTCCTCACAGTACACACCTCGCTTGTGACCCCCTGGCTCCACACAGTACACACCTCGCCTGTGTCTCCCTGGCCCCACACAGTACACACCTCGCCTGTGTCTCCCTGGCTCCTCACAGTACACACCTCGCCTGTGTCTCCCTGGCTCCACACAGTACACACCTCACCTGTGTCTCCCTGGCCCCACACAGTACACACCTCGCCTGTGTCTCCCTGGCCCCACACAGTACACACCTCGCCTGTGTCTCCCTGGCTCCACACAGTACACACCTCGCCTGTGTCTCCCTGGCTCCACACAGTACACACCTCGCCTGTGTCTCCCTGGCTCCACACAGTACACATCTCGCCTGTGACCTAGTGGCCCCACACAGTACACACCTCGCCTGTGCCCCCCTGGCTCCACACAGTACACACCTCGCCTGTGCCCCCCTGGCTCCACACAGTACACACCTCGCCTGTGTGCCCCAGGCTCCACACAGTACACACCCACATCCTCCACACAGTACACACCTCACCTGTGTCCCCCTGGCCCCACACAGTACACACCCACATCCTCCTCACAGTACACACCTCGCTTGTGACCCCCTGGCTCCACACAGTACACACCTCGCCTGTGTCTCCCTGGCCCCACACAGTACACACCTCGCTTGTGACCCCCTGGCTCCACACAGTACACACCTCACCTGTGTCTCCATGGCTCCACACAGTACACACCTAGCCTGTGTCTCCCTGGCTCCACACAGTACACGCCTCGCCTGTGTCTCCATGGCTCCACACAGTACACACCTAGCCTGTGTCTCCCTGGCTCCACACAGTACACACCTCGCCTGTGTCTCCCTGGCTCCACACAGTACACACCTCGCCTGTGTCTCCCTGACCCCACACAGTACACACCTCGCCTGTGTCTCCCTGGCCCCACACAGTACACACCTCGCCTGTGTCTCCCTGACCCCACACAGTACACACCTCGCCTGTGTCTCCCTGGCTCCACACAGTACACACCTCGCCTGTGTCTCCATGGCTCCACACAGTACACACCTAGCCTGTGTCTCCATGGCTCCACACAGTACACACCTCGCCTGTGTCTCCCTGGCCCCACACAGTTCACACCTCGCCTGTGTCTCCCTGGCTCCACACAGTACACACCTCGCCTGTGACCACCTGGCTCCACACAGTTCACACCTCGCCTGTGTCTCCCTGGCTCCACACAGTACACACCTCGCCTGTGACCCCCTGGCCCCACACAGTTCACACCTCGCCTGTGACCACCTGGCTCCACACAGTTCACACCTCGCCTGTGCCCCCCTGGCTCCACACAGTACACACCTCGCCTGTGACCACCTGGCTCCACACAGTTCACACCTCGCCTGTGACCCCCTGGCTCCTAACCTGTGTGTCCCTGGCTCAGGGGTCGACAACCTTTGGCTCCAGAGCCCCACGTGAATCTTTGGCTGCCCCACTGCGGGCAGCCTTTTTTTTCTTCCCCAGAACGTAAAGCTTGAAGTATAATACTTAAAGATATAACGTATTAAATATGGGAGGGGATGGGTCACGGTGAAATGTCTTGACCACTACAAAATGTGCAACAGTCAAAACTGTATAGTTAAATAATAAAAACAATCGTCCTCAGGTGGGACGATTGCTTGTGTGGCGATCGAAACGTCGTGATCTATTATTTTTTCTACCTACGTGACTTTACCGAAATAACCAAAGAGTATGAATTCCTGCAGTCACGAAAGCTTCAAATCAAGATTAAGTTGATTCCATCACCTATTTTGTTTAAGTCAGAATGTGTGTTGTCATCGGCTGTATAGCCGCAGTGTTTGTCTACGTGTACAAGTAGCTCTGCCTGTGATGCGACTCACCAACTATTTTGGTGAAAGACAGAAACTAAAAAGTCTCTCCTGAGAAAGTTTGACGACCCATGCCGTGGCTTTGCACAGTACACGCCTCGCCTGTGTTCCCAGGATTTCAGTAAACAAGGAATAATATATATAAAAGTTACAATCACGCACTTTGTTGGACCTCTGGTAACATCGCTAGGAGTACATTGTTAGCGCTGTCCGACGTAAGTTAGAACCTACTTCGGAAATATATTCAAGGTCGATAATGCCATTACGGAGTTCAAAGAACTCACAAACGCCTTGTGAAAGACCCAATGCAGAAGTTCGCTGGGTTTGAGCTTCCACGAAGGTCACGGTCCACCCTAAACCGCATCCGCACAAACAATGACAAATGCGGATACCTGATGCACAAATGGAAAATAAAATAAAAAACCTCAAGTGTGCGACTGTCGTCATCCAGAACAGAGCGTACAACGCATTATAGCGACGCAATGCCCCGATACACACATACGAAGGAGACATCACAGCGATGCACTCCGCTATCTTGGCTTGACACCTAAATGTTAAATCCTAGTTGTTGCTCTGCATCTACATCAGCCATACTCAGATCCGTTTGAATGCATGAACGTAGGGAGGGCGCTGAAGTGTCTTAATGATGTGCTTCACCGCAACCTTAAAAGCATATCATCGTGAACATCGCGTAAAATTATTGCGGCACGTACAGCTTGACACGATATCGACAAGATAACAGCTGTTTGTTTGCTACGTTGCCTGTGACTTCCTTTAAGAGTTTAAGGCAACGGCTTCTATATCCTGTGCACTGCTGCGGTTTTACTCGTAATAGCTGATGTTTATTCGAACGAAACGTTTGGAAGGTTGGGTTTGAAACCGAGTAGAAAGCATTCCTACTTTTTCCGAATATAATACCACCCTTATTTATTAACCACAATGTATATTTGGGAAATCTTGTATTCGTAAAAAAATCCATGCTTTAAAAGTCTCGCTCAACACCAGGGCATACATTTATTCAATGTTAATATATATATTTTTTAAGCTGTTCAGGACGCACTTAATGGGAAAAAAAGGATGACAGATTTTCTACATATATCAGAAACATGGATCTTTAACAACATTTAACAAAAGCTGAAAAGTGCACAAATAAGCTTAGGTTTAACACGCTTAGAGGTGCATGCTTGGTGTTAACCGAGGCAGAGAAACATACGCAAGTTATTTGCTAATTTTGAAAAGTATTTCACTCCACCCTGGACTGGATGGTGGATGTTGGTCGAGACCAGGGATTGGAAACCTGCGGCTCCAGAGCCGCATGCGGCTCTTCGTCTTCCCCTTGTGAGTCTTTGGCTGCCCCCTTCCGGGCAGCCTTTTTTTTTAATTAAATCTTAAACATAATTTAATGCAGGGAATGGGTCACTATGGAATGTCTTGGTTACAACAAATTTTTGTCGAACTGTATTGTTAAAGAACAACTAAGGGGAGGAAAAACTAAACGGACACAGTTTATTCCATCACCTATTTTAAATCAAGTTGTGTCATCTGCTGTATATCTGCGGTGCTTGTGTATGTGCACAAGTAGATGCGGCTCTCAAACTATTTTGGTCAAAGACGAAAGCAAAAAAATGTATTTTCTTCCTTGAAAGGTTGTCCACCCCTGATCGAGACTAACGACAGAGCAGAGGGAGCACGCCCGGGAAAACCGCCACTGTAAAGTTGGAGCAACACAATCAAGCCATGCGCAGATGCCTGATAGATTGTTGCATCGCAGGACCATGAGAGAAGCCGACTGCTTGAGCAGTCCTTCATCCAGTAATGATAGGTGTGATGTGAGCCACTTGCCTGTTGCTGTGACAGTGTCCATCGCTCCCCTTACTGGCCGAGACAACTTTGTTTTAATGGAATGGAGTGTACAACCCATAATAAGAATGTCAAGAAGGTAACAAGTCCAAACGCATGTTAGATATCAACTCATCATATCATGGGGTTCAACTAAAACAACGAACATACCGTTGTGTGGGAAGTCAGAACATTGTCAGCCTATTTTTAAGACTGACCACATACAATGGGAGTACGGAAATTTAATGGCCGAGTCAGGGCTCTATAATAAATTTACTCCAAGCAACAAGCACTCGTATCAACAGGGAGACATTTTGCCTTTGAGGTACAGTTATAACAGTGCCACTTTGGTATGATCTGAGCAGAAATCTAGAGGCAAATTCAGAAATGGGTTAAATGAGCAATCGGCAGTGCTCAAAAATATTGGTGGTTCTAAGACTGGTCAGAAATCCATTTATCTGTGGCATGGACCAGTCTCTCGCATGTTTTGTTGTAAACCAGGTGGTAGCCCATTTGAGACTATCTGTTTTTTCGAAGGAAGACATGGTAAAATGTCATGAAGACATTTAAGTGTAGTGATTCAGGGTACAAAGTCTACAAGACAATCGCTGTTAACGTATCACCAAGTTGCACAACTTTACAAAGTTGTGCCAATTTTATGAACTAAGGGAGAGATTATTATGATGGGGCTTGATTGACTCTAACAAGGAATCGAACATTACGATCAGGAGCTCTGTTGCCATTCCATCAGATCCATGACAGTTTAATTTAGGTCCTTTAAAAGGAACTTCCCAAAAGTTAATGTCAGAGATTAAAATTGTCCTTTAGATATCACAACCAAATATTTTGTATGTTGTACTCAGTAAACCACGCACACAAGCAAATTGTATACGTGTCGAGTACTTTGTATTATTGACCACAATTTGGGTCACTTGAGTGGCTACTGTACACAAGTAGCTATTTATGGCAAAGAAGCCGACATTTGTGTTGCGTGCCAAGAGGCACTTTCCTCACAACAATTACAACGTTTGAGTGCATTGCAAGCTGAAGTGTTGTTGCCAGGTTTGGATCGGTGCTGTAAGCTCTACTTTAGCTTGACCAGATTCATTCTGAAGCCAAAATTATGTATTAATGATTATGTATTAATGATTATGTATTAATGATTATGTATTAATTATTACGTAGTAATTATTATGTATTAATGATTATGTATTAATGATTGTGTAGTAATTATTACGTAGTTAGTATTATGTATTAATCATTAAACAATTTACCTCTTTGGGGAACATAAAATAGACCTGTAAAATGCATCACTTTTAACTTTAATGTGAAAAATTACCCCCTTGGGTTGGTTTTTCACAACTGTTTGAGAGACAAACATTTGTTTACATTTAAGTTTAACTCAAATGCTGAGGTCAACTTACTTTCTATACATTTTTGAAAGTCAAAAGAAGTCTTCCAATGAGAAAACTGGCCCTTGATTAGAAATGGGAAGGTTTTGTCATTGCTTCAGAACCACCAACCGATATGAGCAATACGAGCACTTCACACCCCACGTTGAAGTCTTCCTATGAGAAAACTGGCCCTCGATTAGAAATGGAAAGGTTTTGTCATTGCTTCAGAACCACCAACTGATATGAGCACTGCACACCCCACGTTTAAAGGAAACATTTGGGTACTAATTTGTTTTCTTACGAAAATATTGTTTGGTGAAATTGTTTTGTCTGCTACTGCAATGGAGGAAAAAAATGGCCATTTTCTTAAAACGCACCACCACTGCAGTTTTCAAGTTCTAATTGCACGTGCTGACCAATAAATAGCAGCTTCCACCCAGTCATGACTGGTATAGAAACTGAGTAATGCAGGTGGGTTCACATGAAGGTGGGTTCAAATTGAGCCTGGTACATGTTAAGAGCCAGTGGGTGAGTTGACGCTTTCATTCAAGTGTTGAGACTGCATGGGTTCCTCACTGCACATTTACCGCCCATTAATATTAAGCTGATTAATCCCATTTCGCTGAATACCACAAAAGAGCTTTCTCATTCCACTCAGCTACAACATTCCATCCTCTCTGCATGTCTGTTTTGCTCATTCAGAACTACTCGCTGCCTGTGTAACTTCCAATAGTGTGTTAAAGAAAAACACGACGCAACTCTTAGCTCGTACTTTGTAACTACATGCCGATGCTGTGTGGCTAAAGCTGTCTGACACGAAATTTGAAGTTTGGTGAAAATTAGCAATGAATCTAAACTGACTCGGCAGCGCCCGCCAGTGACTTCCCTGGTATAATTTCTGTGCCCTTTTATACAGTTCACCCCACGTCACAACACGTAGAGTGCATTGTGGGAACCAGCTTTTTTCAGTTTAAGTTGCGACGTGATTTTCGGAAGCCAGGAAATGGTGATTTAGCCGGAAAGTGTTGTGGTTTCTAAGGGAACTGATAATGTTTATTATTCTTTGCCAGGAAAATGTGTCTATCTATAGGAGGACTAATAAAATGTGTTATGCACACTCCAGAATTCCTAAACCAATAGCCTTCAAACTTAACACACAGATTACCAGTACAAATGCCAAGATCCTCATTCTTTTTACGTAATTGGCAATACAAGATTTTTTTTATTCTAGTAAAAAAATAGAACCTAGTGTTATGCTGCATAGAGCACAATTGGTATATGTTCATTACAGCACGTGGGGGAAATGCTTGTTAACCTAGCACGGTTTCCATTTGTGCTTGTTTTAACGTGCATTTATCGAGACGAATCCCAAGCAAAATTTTAGGTGCTAATAATGAACTGGCTTTCCAACTTTTTTAATTTTCATCAAACAATGAAACAGCCAAATTGCCATGAAAACTGCTGGTGCAGCAATGAAAAAACAATGAATTGTTTTGGCGGGTTCTATCTTCCGATGGAATTTTCCTATTTTGTTTCATTACTGGTGTGAATTTATAAAAAGTATGAGTTTCAAAGTTTCCTCGTGATATATTTACCTTTTTGAAATCATTTAAATGTACGATATGTCAATGTATTTTGCATCGATAAAGCCATACCAATAATGAAAGAAAGAAATGCCAGCTAAAGGTGCAAACCTTGCCTTTGGCCTTCATGCCAAATATAAAGAATCTTAAATAGGAGGTATAACTTTGGAAAATGCCATGCCTGTATTGTACATCCCTTTGTGATTCCACTGTTGAATGAAGACATCCCCATGCTTTGTCAGTCATGGAATTGTTTGGCTGTCGCCATGTTAATTAATGAGGCTTGGTCAAGGGATGACCCAGAACTGATTCAAGTATCACTTACTGCTGATGTTAGCCGTGACTGGATATCACATTCTGGTCGCCAAATTCATAATGCAGTGCATAGACCACTGCACCACCACTCTACCTCGAGAGTATTGTTATTTATTTTTATATAATGATTGATACTAAGAATCCCTTGAAATGAAGACTTCTATAGTAGACTGGCTTGCCAGCTTATCCATGAGTTAACTCGGCAAGTAATGCTTTTTTAAACAAAAACATAGAACTCTGACTTGGTTTCCCCAATGTCTTGCACAATTTCAGATTGTAAGGCTGTGTAAATATTAGTTCCAGATGGCATCGGTGTTAGTTTTGGGAAGTCGAGACAAACGCTGTTCTTCTTGAAGTTGCCCATGCCACAGTATGCCCAAAGTTTTACAAATAATCAAAAACAGATGGACCCAGCTGAGATGAGTGACAAGCCAAGCAAACAGAGAAGCAAAATTAACCTGGTATCAAGTTTCATCTGCAAACCTAACCATTCAAAAGTGACTGAACCCTCTCAGTCACCCCCACATGCCCCTGCATGGAGTGTCGGAAAAAAGTTTGAATTGTTTCACTTCTTTTCTCATGTTAATTTCAGCCTTTATAGTTTTTTTTGTTTTTTTTTTGTTACAGGTGGTGTATTTGGTGACTGCAAGCCTGATGACAATTGCTGCATTTTACCAATCAGACCTTGCTGATGTGGGGAAGAAAGTTAACCCTAACTGGTTCAGCGAGGAAGATGGCACTGGAGTTGGTGAGGGACTGTGGCTTAACTTTAAATACAGCACAGTGGCTATCACATAACCTCAGCATGGACACTTCAGGGCCTTGTTTACATATTACGTACATGTTAGGTGGACCATGTCAGGGTGTATTAAATTGTTCCAATCAACTATTCCACGTGTCCAAGCATGCCGTTAACAAATTTAATTTGAATAATTGCACATTCATTGCATCTGATAGGTACAAATAGAATCATGATGACAGCAGTTTGTGAAAGCCTGGACCATATTGTGTATATGGCTCATACAGGCGGTCCCCACTTTTACGACAATGCATTCTTGGAAACCAGCAATGTAAATCGGATCTGCGTAAATTTGACCCTTTTTTCTCATAGACAGTCCAAACATCACTTGCTGATGTGTTTTTATATCATCAACGTTAATGATGTCTCGGACTTGAGTCTCTATAGCAGTCTAGGCCTGTCTAATCTAGGATATACATTAATCACAGTGACCCACGATTGTTTCCACCTTGTGGATATAATTCAGAACAGTTTTGAAACTGTTGTACACTGTTTAGCAAATGGAGGTTAAACTGTGGGCATCAGATTGAAACTTTTATTTTGAGATGTATTTCTTGGACCTCTATGAAGTCTGTTTATTGCGGTGATGTTCAAAGTGTTATATATATGCTTATTTAAATAGTTGACAATTGCTTTTCAGTTTAAACCAGTCAACTCTCAATGATGAAAGATAACAGTGGAGGCAGTCCTCAGAAATCCTGTTTGCCCAAATGTGGCAGTTGCTGAATTTGCTGAAAGCCTCCCAATACATTTAACCGACATTAAATAAGTCTGTGTCAGCTACTTTACACCAGTATTTAATTAATTTAGCTTGAGTGACGCAGTAGGAAGATAACAATGGTTGTAGGGAGTCAATGGTTATTCTATAGATAGACTGACCCTTGCTTTTTGAATGTGGACTTCCCCACCTTTGAGGTTGCAGTTTGCCAAGTAAGATAATCTACACCCCATTGCTTGTTTGAGAACTGTTAGATTTAAATATTTACAAAATTTATTGAACATTAACATTTCTTTCTTTGACCATTTAGCCCAATATTTTATGTCACAGTTGTAAATCAAACTAGCCATATATATTGTTATTACATGCTTATTCTTACTGCAATGTTAACATCAGTTGTATATTTATTCCAGCAGATGGCAGCATTGGAATGGTGGTTTGTTTGTTAATGATTACCATCAGTGGCATGTTGGTCTATGGATGTGTGTCGGTAAGTTGCAACGTCCAACTCCTGAGCGTCTTTTACATCATTTTTTTATGACAACGCACCAGCCAGCTGTGACTTGGGAAACATTGCATTTGAATGATGAATGCTGTTGTGTGCGCACTCTGATGTCTTTAGCACCGGGCTGGATGGATGATTCCATTTCTCAGCTATCAACTCTTTGACTTCTCCCTCTCCTGCCTGGTGGTCGTGGGATTCCTCACCTATCTCCCGAAGTTCCGGAGCAGCCTGGAAGAAATGGTAATGTCATCAAAGTGCATGGTTTTAATTCCTGGCCAGTGAGGTTTACAAATAATGGAATATTTAACCAAAATTTTTTTTTCAAATATATGTATTTTTATTATAACAATTTTTTTTTTCAAAACCACATAAAAAGGGTATGCAGCATGAAAGACACACATTTCACACGAGTGCTGCATCAGTTGGCTATGCCCAGCTGCAGACTGCTATGGAATTCCCTGCAAATTCTATAGGCGAGGAGATCACAGCTAAAACATTTGTAGAATTGTGATAAAATATGCCGATTCAAATATAAACCCAAAAATGTTGCAAGTGACCACTTTTCACATTAACAAGTGTCGCATAGTTATGCCTCAACAATAAATACGGATGGAAAAAAAATCCACTGGATTCTATCAATTTCAGTATCATTAATATAATGAGCCAAGAATGTCTGTGTGTAATGCACGTGACGTCACTCCACGTCGACCAGCCCCCCTCATTAATAATTATGAATAGGTGGGGCCCCCCACAGACCCCCGTCATTAACATTCATGAACGGGTGACGTCACTCCACATGAAGAAGGTGGAGCAGAAACAAAAATTTGTTTACGCAAATTAGCTTTCATTTTGACCTTTCTTCATGGAAAGTAAAGCTAATTAAAAAATTAACGCATCAACTAATATAACAAGCCAAAAAAGGCTGTGTGTGTCCAGCGCTTGATGTCACTCCTCATCAGGCCCCCCCCCCTCATTAATAATCATGAGTGGGTGACATCACTCCACATGGGGCACCCCCACCCCCTAATTAATAATCATGAGCCGATGACGTCACTCATTTGGACCCCGCCCCCACCCTCCATTAATAATAATAAGTGTGTAATTGTTTTCGATTAAATATTTCGGATTAACTGCAATATACACCCGTTCTATAGGCAAGTTTTACAATGGTTAGCCCTATCACTGATCTCCTCAGTGGCAGAGTAATGTGCTTCAGCCTGGTCCGGGAGCCCATACACAAAATTGCTAGATGTACAATGAAATCATACAATGCGCATCATAACTGGAACACTGAAACTGACACCAGTCACTTGGGCTCCCTGTCTGGTGAACATTCTGCCACCGAATATCTGCGGAGACATGCAAATTTGCAAGGCAGTTTACACGTGTTCTTGCCAATGACAATCTACCTATCCACTAAGATCTCAACAGTGGACCTCGTCTCGAACTCAAGTCCCAATCCTCCTGGTGTCACACTGTCGCCATCCTAGAATCTCACCCACATGTGAAAGACTGTTGAAGAATAGAGTGGTACAATGCAGATGTCCAGAACAATCACCTGAAAGCTACAATAACTCTCTCCTGAAGCTCTTTTGTGACAAGCCGATATCAAACTTTGGCGTTTAGCTCCTGAAAATGTTGCCTTACACAAGAATATATCCCGCACCTCTGATTAGCATGGTTGGCTACGTACGATGCAAAATATTTTCAACCTACATACAGTACACAATGGCACATTGTGGCACAAAATCAGATGATCACATTCCCTGTATGTGGTGAATTTACCATCACCTATAGCTATTCTCTTTATACTGGTGGTTAAAGACTTTCATATGTTAAATCAGTTGGTAAAAAAAAATCACAGTTGTAATCCATTTTATTGAAAAATCTACAACAATGGCCATCTTCCCTTCAGTGTGCTTTCTTCATCTTGCTCCATCTAGTGGTAACCAATTCAGCACTGAAACAGGAACTATGTTGATGTTTATAGCACACAGTAATTGCAGTAGGTTTATGAGGCATATCTGTTATTACCATTAATTGTCCCTGTCCATTTTATTGAAGTTGAATGTCTCTCGTTAGTTTGCACTCAATCACCCTTGCATACACAAAACAACACGTGACTAGCATTACAGAAGTTGTTTTAAATTCTTACCATGTGTAAAATCTTCCCTTGTGCTTAGCTTGTTGGTATTTAATCGGTATTTACATTGCCCAGAACTGCAGTAATTGAACAATCCGTTCAAATGTTTCCAACATTGAAGGTGCAGTAAAACATAATTTTTAACATGAAAAAACAACAAAAATATATTTGCAAATATAAAAGACTGTGCTTGAGTGATCTGTATTTTTCTCAAATTTTTATTAGAGATTCACATCAATAATTTTTCCTACTTTGGGATGTAAAGAATGCGGGTATTCATATTATTGGTTCTTTCGGTGAAGTCATGTAGAAGGGAAACAATAAAATAATACAAATATGAAACAATAAAATTATCACGACGTTTCGACTGCAACACAAGCAATCATCATCAGGTGTGAAAAACACGTGACTTTACCGAAAGAACGAAGAATATGAATACCCACAATCCCTGCAGTCACGAAAGCTTTAAATAAAAAAAATGTGGATATTATTTTAATCAGTTTTCAATGTAGAGTCTTGAACCATTCCACAAACTTCTCAGTCTCTTGTATATTATGATATTATAATACTCTTTGGTTCTTTTGGTAAAGTCACGTAGGTATAAAATAAAATCAAAATCAAATGTTTATTTTATACCTACGTGACTTTACCGAAAGAACCAAGGAGTATGGATTCCTGGAGTAATGAAAGCTTCAAATCAAGATAATATAATAACCTCAGTTTTCTCAATATAGATTTAAAACTAATTTATTTAGAACTGCTTTTTGTGTTTAGTTTGTTGTCATTTTCCCGCACCTCCGATTAGCACAGTTGGCTACATATGGTGTGAAAGAAGTTCAATATACATACAAAGCACTGTACATAAAAACAAAGATTAAAAAGTTAATAATTAAAGTGAGTGATTAATTGTCAACATTGCATTGACAAGATTATCAGTTTTGCATTACATTTTCTTCCCCGACATGTAAAATATTTGGTACAATGTTAACTAATTCTCAGTATTGAGTTTTTGCCGCTGCTAAAACTTTGAATCAAATGTATCTCTTTCACACTGGGTACGTTTTTTTCTTATTCTCTGGTCTGTGCTGCCCTATCTTGCGTGCAGGATTTCCAGTACAAGGAAACCATTGAGAACATGGACACCACCTGGCTCATCGTGTTCGCTGTCCTGTGCTGTGCGGTGGTGCTTGGATTGAAGGTGCCACATTTGCTCAACGTCACTGCACAAGCAATCACGATATGCTAAATGTTAACGTGCCACGTTCAGCAAAGTCCAGCATGGTTTGTTTAACATTGCAATTGTACTTGCTCTTTCAGGCTTATCTGGTGAACTGCGTGTGGAACTGCTACAAGTACATCGTGCACCGAAACTCCCGTGACTTCAGTGTGTTTGCCAACCCAAATGCAGACGTAAGGATAATTATAATGTGTATTATAACACCTCGTTTTCATTTATGGGAAATACCTATGTTGTACGCTTCATCTTTGTGTCTGGCACTGACAACTTACTTTTTTCAAGTTGGCTCAACTTGTGCTGCTTTTAAATTCCTTAATAGGGTGCCTAAGTTTAACTCTCTTTGACAGGAGGCAAGTCATGAATTCAATTTCTGGTTTGGGTTCAACACAGGCCTTGATACCTATGGGTTTGATAATTGAGAACTACTTTTGTAGAAGTCAACATTAGTTGTCCCACAGAGAGGCTGGGTCCCACCATGGAAATGAGGAATGTGCATTGCCGTCTCAGGACCGCCATTAGAAATCATTCAACACCAATGCGCGTTTAAATATAGTGGTACTCATATTATTGACCCTAGAGAAATGAAGGTCTGACTTGGATTTTAACCCACAACCTTCTGATTGTAAGTTAAGTATACTCCTGCAGTGCCACCCAGCTAAGTATACAAATATATTATGCTGAAATATTAAGAGCAATGGTGCTGCAAAAAAAGTATCTGGCAGAAATATCCTTTTTCAACCGAAAGCTTTATTGTTTGTTAGTTTATTTTAAGCATGTGTCAAGTATGAGTAGATCATGTGGGGGATGTTTGTTTTTTTAATGAACAGAAAAGAAGGCATGCTTTCACACATGTACGTAGTCTGCAGAAGACCCACGAGACCGGGAGCTTTTTGATTTCTGTGCCGCCTGGCTCCTTGAATAGGATGGTTCATGGGGTTAAAGTGGAAGAAAGTGTTCTCGACCCATGCTCTGTCAGCCAATTATGCACATGGCGAGGGTCTGGGATGTGGAGCACACACAAGACCCCTTTGTCTAATCCAGAAGTCTATTATGGCCAGGGCAGATAATACTCCGATCTGGATCACTGCCCTCGCCTCAGTGGTAGACCTTTCACGGTCACGGTGCTTGTGCAGAGGTCTTCTACGTTTTCACGACCAATTTCCAAGGGTTACAGTAAATATGGTGTTGATTTCTGCAGGCTATTTGTTTACCGGAGGAATGCTACTTCATAAAAAAAAGTGTAACGGGTATCCTGCAGAGGTAATTTAATAATGCATGTATTTCATGACTACAAGGTGAGGATTTATTTTGTAGTTTTAGTGGGTGAATGTTTATAAATTATATGAATATTACTGCTACGTTTCCAGTATGTATATTACTGTTGCTTAATCTTAAGTTGAAACTCAATATGTTTTCTGTATGATTAAATGTTCGCAGCGATTTTAATTTATCTGGAAGCTAAGAAATGTATGCCCCATGAACAATTGCGCAGTGTAGATATTCATTTTTTGTATATCCTAATAAGATGCATCTCCCATTCAGGACATATCTGCATATTACCTGTTGCAAATTCCCCAATCAAATGATCAGCAGACTCTTTTCCTGATTTTCTCTTCAGAAACACTTGGCAAACCCTTTCCTTTTCAACGTTTATAATGTTTACACTTTATTTCCATGCAGATGGCTAGCTTTCAGCAATATTTATGCATGTTTTAATACCAGACCTCAACTTGACCATAGCATAATGTCCACCTTGCACATTATTGTCAATACACAGATTTGTGTGAATTTCAGCCAGCACAGTACAATCTTGGTCAATTTAAAGAACAGAGCAGTTGCTCTACACGTGAACAGTCTTTCGGGTATTTCAGTTCAGTTGAATATTTTGCTGAAACTGTTGTTAGGCATAACAAGAGAACATATTTAACTTTTACTTAAAGCTGGCAAGACTGTAGAAATGGCACAAGGTACATTCTTTCAAGAGTTTGTCAGATAATTGTCCACCAAAACCAGACACGTGGGAGCGAAGGTGTGTATGCCAACATTGACCACCAGTGTGTAGTGCTCACCATAATTTAAATCCCCTGGCTGATGTGTTGATTATTGAGACGAGCTGATGTAGAAGCATGAAATGCTGGCTTGTGTTAACCTAGCTTTGTTTGGTTTTACTGTACATTGCATGTTGCCCGAGAACAAATTTCAATCTCTGCACAAATATTTCCCTTTGGCTGTGGAAATTGGGTTGCATTTAAAGCTCGATGTGCCGGAATATTGTGCGGCCAAAACTGCACAAGGAAAGGTTTATTTTTCCCATTGATGTGTTCGCATGTTGAGTTGGCCCAGCTGCTGCAGTTTGCCTTGTAAAAACATTCCCTATCAGCAAAGGCTTGCACAAAAATACCCTGCGGTGCTCTGACCACCTACACATGTAAAGGTAGCCTACTAGTGCCTGGACTAAGAGTATCGGATTCATCCATGCTACTGAGAGCATTTTGCCCGTCACGAAGTGGCACAAGAGTCACTTGTAAACGTAAGATCCCCGACTATTGCAGGAAATAGGCTGGTCGCAACAAACGACGCTTGTAAAGTGTAACCTGATCAACTTGGAAGTTTAGGTACTGTATTATTTTGCATGTACACATCCTGTATATTTAAACCACAATAATTGTTCATTTTGAAAACAATTAGATTTTTTGCAATATTAAAACAACGGTCAGCTTGGTTAGTAGAGGGTCATTATTTACCAAAACAGTTTAGTCATGAAATAATTCGAAAAGCATTTCTCCAGTTCTCCAAAACAAGTATGACACAATATTTAAATGATCTATTTTAATAGTGTGGGCAGATGCATGCATACACAACAGTTGCAGAATTATTTTATTTATTACAGTCCGTTCTATTTTTAAAGAGGTATTACTGCAGAGGGTCATGTGAAAGTGAATTGTGTAGATTGTAATGCATTTCCAGAAGGTATGGAATGCTGGATTGTTACAAACTTAGTTGAGACTGCTTATAAGTACAACAATTCTGAAACCTACAGTTTGTGCTTTGAATGGCCAAACATGACAGTCCAGCAATTGGTTTCACCAAGGACGTGGTCAGGATAGAGCTCTACATTGCTTTAGCCTCATGCAAAACACTTAAATACACCGTCCGCATAATCAGTAAATCAAATAATGTACCTGTTGATGTAAACGCCTAAACCAGGCGCTACTAGTAACTACGAACATGGCTACAGGCTAAACGCATATAATTGATTCTCAGTATGTATAGTTTTAATGTGTTGTCAATTGGAATGAATATTAAAATGCACAAATTACATCACATATTTGTATTTTCCAAAAAATATTAGCTCAGCAGTGCAAGTATACAAATTCTGCCTTTTTTATATAATGCATATCGCACAAAAACCTTGAAGACTCTGTTAAATCACCTTAAAACGTGTTACACGGTATACTGTGTTCTCATTGCCCCTCACCGTGGGTCTGAAGTTGCTATAACACTTGAGTTAAAAAGCCATGATCTGCTAAAGCAATTTTGGGTCTAAAAACTGAATTAATATGTTGAAATATATCGCAAGCCCATCATGGCCCATCATGGCCCATCCCAGCACTCAACCCCATCAAGCCACATCAGACTGTCACACCACACCATCATACTACAGCATCTCATCACACCGCACCATGACACCACAACTTCGCACATGGCACCATGCTCTCACATCACCACACGATCACACCATACCATGTTACCACACCACAACATGCCAGCACAACTACACACCCACACCATCGTATTGAGATCCCAATCGTTCACTGAATTGAATCCGACATTTTATTCAGATGGAGAGTGTCACATCAGGCTATTACGGTGGCCTCTGTCTACGATTTCATTGAGAGCTGCCATCCCAGTTGCCCACTAGGGGTGCTGCAATCAGATTTGTTCAGATTTTGGGCGATGAGATCTTTTACAACGGCAAACCATGCGGCAACCATTGCCGGTGACGATTGCCAGTAACAACTGCCCTAGTGGATGCTGGTATTTAGGATACGCGCGATTGATATTTAAGCAAGGAGATGTATTGGCCTTTGTATTCTTCATTTTTAATGTCGTTTGTTATGAAGTTATATTGCATAAATTGTGTATTGTATACAATGTGCTTCATTGATTTGTGCCAATTTGAAATCTTATATATTTCTCTATACATATAGTTATGGTCCCTTTGTGAATGAGGTGTGTTGTTTAAATGCATGTTTGGTTGGATTACATCTACCTTCCCACCTCCCCACCCATTTACTAAACTTATACCTATCAACTTTCCTACCTACCTACTGTCCTACCCACCTGTATACTAACCATCCAAACAACATACCTACTCATTTTCTACATATCCACACGTCTGCTTACCTACCCACAAGCCTGATTGTTTACCGGCTAAACCCACATTCGACCATGGTGATTCTGATTATTGATGTTTGCCGTTGTACATTTTTCCTTGCCTTCCTCACAGTACTACTTGCCACCGAGCTATGATACGGTGGTGAAGATGCCGCTGAAGGAGGAGGAGAGTCCCCCGGCATACACACCTGCCTAGACTTATTGTTCCTCCAACCGTATAAGACCCGCACCAGCCGGCCGCTCAACTGGGCCCATCTCGAGTGTGAAGTTTCAACAAATTAACGAGGGTGATGGAAATATGTCGTTGCACTAACTTTCTTTAAAAAAAAGTTTTCACTTTTTTATATATTAAGGTAATATATTGCACTGTAATTAACCAAAACAAAACATTTAGCCAGATTAAAACTTGTTAAAGTCACAGTTAAAAGCTGAGTCACTATGTACCTTTTCATATGACTAAACGTTTTGTCATGCAATTTTCTTTAAAGAAATTAGTGCTTCCACAAATGGTGTGTTTGAATAGCTGGTTCATCAATACAGAAGTTATTTTTAATGCAAACGTTAACTTCATCTTAGATGTGCTCAGTTGTGTTTTTCTCCGCATTGTTTATGCCATTATGTTTTGTGTTATGGAATCATATTAAATAGCTGAGGGCACACGATTAATTAAATTTCGATGAGAAATATGGTTTTCACTCACATTTTTATTTTAATCATGTCATTATGTCAAGTCAGTTAAACATGCTAAGGGTGGGGGTGTCATGTTACTGAAAATTTTGATTTTGGGTGGACATTTTAATTTGTTGTATATGTTGAGAGGTTTGAATAACCTAAAGGGGTATTGCATTTGTTTCCGCTTTCATTTGTGATAAAAATTCTTCTGGCTTGGATTGGTCATTGAAATTAGCCTTTAAAATAATTGAGTTTCCTCATTATTGTGCTCCTAAAATCTATCAAGACAACGTATTGCAATGTATCTGCTATAAAATGAAATATGAAAAACACTGGACACTTTTACTCAAGTTGTAGTTTTTCCGCTGCATGCCTTTGCACTGTTTTAGTGCGATGAACATTGCTTCACCAGATGACCATTCAGTCTATATGGTTGTGCATGTTCTCAATGGAACGCCTGAGGCCTCGTGTGTTCCCTCCCATGGAACGTAATAGGCTGGATATTGCACTCAGTTTTTACGTAAACGTTCGTATAAACACACTGGAGATTGTATTCTTTAAACAAAAACATTCCCCTACTAGATACATGGTGCTGGATTACTCTGCCTGAAGGAGTAAGAACTAAACACCACTATTAAAAACGCCGATTATGGTTAAAAGGAATCAACTGTCAGGAACTGTAATGTGCTTATTATGTAATGCATCTACAGGTAATGGATGTAAAACGCTGTTTAAGGTGTGTGGGAAACATCAGTTGTGTGCATTGAATTTTGGCTATGCAGATGAAAAACTTAAGCAAATAAAGTAAAAGTGATTCATTTTGTTTTGTTCTTGTCAGTTCAGATGAGTGTAAAAACTAGATGGTTCTTCCCTTTTCACCAAATAATCCACTGGACAATAAATGAGGTCCACAAGAAGATACCTTTGGAAGGATGAATATATACTCTTTGGTTCTTTCGGTAAAGTCACGTAGGTATAAAATCAAATAAATCACGACGTTTCGGGCGCAACACAAGCATCCATCATCAGGTGGGAAAGCATGGTCTTATGTTGAGGCAGACTTTTAAAGGGTCTTAAATGGGTGTAGCTCAGGGGTTATAAAGAAGTGGCCGGTGCTTCAAATCAAGAAGGATGAATATAAACGTAAATACTGTCTGCGCAGGTTTGTTATTCAAGACGAATCGCTGAGTTTGCCACATTGTGTCTACTTAGCGGCTCATTAAACGACGTTAAGGTCACGTCACATCTCGTGTATAATTTTTATCAAAATGTACATAATGAGAAACACCACGTGCCGCTTAAGTCTGTCAGTCACAACACTTGAGTAAATGAGCTTATACAAATTCAAGTAAGGGCTCATTTTGACTGGAAGGAACCAGGGACAGATGAGAATAATACTCTAAAATAGAGCATATCGCCTTCGATTTAGAGTTTATAAACGCCAAATTCGTGCAGGGATATACATGACCAAGTAGGTCACGTGAAATGAAGTTTAATTATGGATTAATTTCAAATAAAGATTCACCCAGACTGGTAGCAGCTTGTTTCAAATTAAAAACAATACAATTTGTACCTTGTGTTTTGGAGATGAATAGGTTTCTAAAATTAACTTAAAAATCACACTCAAGAATTTTCTTTTTTCCAATCGTCACTTCTAAAATATTTATTGGCGTATACTTTAATTCGTTAAACTAATGTGGCTCGGTGGCACATCATACTTTGCAGACGTAGTCCAAATGGGCAGGGAGATATTCTTAAACATTTTAGGATGGGCGCATCAATGTGACGAATGCGCAGAGGACGCCCAATGAAAAGCATGGCTCAACATCAAGGAGGATTGCAAAGAGACTGTGCAAACAGAAAATCCAGGAAAAAACAGCAAAATATTCCAGAAAAAGCACCGTACACCAACGCTGTATGCAAAAATCCCAGTGGGATGCAAGTCAAACAACAACAACCACAAGACAACTTAGATTAAGGTCATCAGTCTAACTCGTACTACAACAAACAAACATGGCCAAACCAAAAAACTTTTTTAAATCACCAAAATAAAGCCATAAAAGCAATGTAACAGTGATCGTAGGAACTGTGACCGAATTTTCACAATAAACGACATTAACAACATGTACCACCTAACCCTGCAGCCCAAGCTGGCTGCATGAGTCACTCCACAAGGCATTGAAGAAGAAGGTGTCCAGGTGGTTCCGTGGCAGAGTACTCAACTCACTACTCAACGGTCGTTGGTTAAACCCCAGGTAGGAGTGAACACGGTCAAGCATCCCTCTCAAGTAAATTCAAACTTCCACTGTGTGGAAGGCCGGTCGTGCCTGTGCTATGTAGAGACTGACCTCTTGCACAGAATGTGCAAGAACTTCCGAAACCAACAAAAGGCCACCAGCAGATTTGAGCACCAGTCGGTGATAATTTTTGTTCAGGATTGTTTTTATTTTGACATAAGGATTCAACATAATACAAACAGGTTAGTTTGACTTAGCAGCACATGGATTAGTTCAAATTATGCTTATAGCCTGCTCTTGAAATGTACACATTTGTAAGTTATTTATAAATACTGTGTTGGTGACTTGGCTGTGATATAAATACATAGTTTACATCTTAACATAAGCTACTTTAGGGTATATGTTCTCGAGCTAGACCTCATTTGAAAACATCTAAGCTTAATTAGCCTATACGTATATACTGTGTCTGACACTTAGACAACCCCTAACGCATAGAAACACTTGAAAAACACATTGTATTGTAAACTATTCTGAAGAGTTTCTGTTCGGTGGAGAGTTTTCCTCCCACGATAGGAATGTGGAATTTCCACCTCTGGCTTAGGGCAGGAAATTGAAATGTCTGGCCACCAAATGCCCACGTGAGCATGGCAACACCATTGGTCCGATTGATATGGAGGTGATATGTGCATGTTTGCCCGATTTGACAACCAGCATGCTCATGTCTCCATCACCAATACCAGGGTAAATGGCCAAGGAGGTGTGTTTCGGGCCATTACGTCGGGATGTAAATTTGGCACGTTGACTTTATTCGCTGATTGGCGAGCAGATGGAGAACAGGCGTCAGAGGAATCAAAACAATGACATGCACGCGTTAACGACTATTTTTTACTTAATGGCCGTGTCGTGACATTTAATCTAAATAAGCCCATGAATTTGAACGGACAGTCACAGATATACTGTTTCATTCTTGTACATTACACAATACACTATATTGTATTCGTGACAGTTTAAATACCCAGTGATCGGACATAAATCGCAGTATTTAGTGTGCCTCTGTGAATGTTATGACTCCGACAACTTGCCGATTTTTTTTTTTCAGTGTGCCACGTTTGCATGCGTATTTTTGTATTTGTTTTTACAGGGCCCTATAGTGTAGATATTTGGCAATGTCCAGCGAACGTTCTCGCATCGGCTGGATTTGTTGCGTCCACCTCACATTGGAGGCCTCTGTATTAAACTGTGAAATATCTGGCGTTGCCAACCTGTTACCTTGCGATTTAAGAGAATATAAAAAAAAATATGCGAATGTACAGCTGCAATAATAATAAACAGCATATTTAAGTTTTCTGATTTTATGCCACCAAACAACATGAAAAAAACAACTTACTGTTGATGTGTGATTTAGTAGCCATGAAAAGTTCGAACCCACATACCCCATGGCTTTGCCAGGCCATTATGACTGAGTGACTTACAAATATGAATCAATGGATAAAAATTCAAAGTTCTCATTCAAGCACGCGGTTTATTCCCAGTAGCTTGTTATATGAAACAAATTCATTTACCCCAACGTTGCAGCCGTTACAGATGACAAACTAAAGGAAAGTTCCACTTGAGGTGCTTTGTGCAACCATCCACAGATCCATATCAAGGTCATCCTGACCATAAGGACCGCATTCTGGCCTCCCCTATGTCAATGGATCCACCACCACCCATTCTCTTCTGCATTCCATGTGGCCGATATGCAACAGTTTACTTTTAAGATTGGCCCATCAATTTATGGTGACTGAAACTCACAAGGATCTAGCCAAATGTCATGGTATACTGTGCGAAAAGTATAATCTGAGCATTCATCAACTTTCCCAAACCTCAGGGACATATTATAACGGTTGGCATCCAAATATTGGAGGAAATTTTATTTTAAATTCATAAAAATTAAAGGAGTGTTCAAATGTCTGGGTATGCATTAGTCACATGCTTGCACAGAGGTTGGACGTATGTCTGTCGAAGAGCAATGTTTGCATTTCATACATCGGCGGTCTAGACTTGGGTATAGTGTTACACTTAATCGGACAGCTGTTTATTATTATTATTTTTATAAAGGACAGCGATCCTTTTAAGAACTTTACGAAGCAATGTGGTTAGAATTGCTAAACTGCCTCCGAGTAAAAAGTGTGTTGAGAAAACAGCATCTTACGATGTGTGGGAGGATAAATGGTTGACGCAGTTGGCATTTGAGTGAAAGTCAGGAGAGGTCTCTGGAAGAAGAAAAAAAAAGCCACCAAAGGTAAAAGCGTATTGCCTTCAAATTGCATCGCAGTCCCAAGCATTGCCACGGATTTAAAGCACCTAATTACTTAATAGTGAACGTGTGGGCACCGCAGGTTAAAGGTCGGACACACACAAATGTGTGCAATGTCAGTAAACGTAAATCACTGTCTTCACACATGTTCACACAAAACATCGTGGCCTGTGGTTTTACACGCTTCCGTTTACAACAGTAAACCTGCTTAAATGTGAAACTCCAATCGCAAGGTTTGCCATGTTGACACGTGTTCCTTTTAATCAGATTTATTTTCGCAAAAACGTGGCGATTTAATGACACAGCAATTTTTAATGAGTCTAGCTCAAAGCGATGGAGGTAGCTTGTGTGAGATGCATCACATATAGATTTTATATGACAGGAATTATGCAGTATGCATACGGTATATACTTAGATGTTTAATATAAACTCAACAACTCCATGCACATTATTATTATTATTTGTATTGTGTGTAATGGGACAATCTCTATGATAATACATGCTGCATTCTATAGTTGAGTTACATCGTCAATAATAATAATAATTTAAAAATGTTCCGCACAGTGAAAGTCAAACTAAAGTGAAAGCAGTTTCCAAGGTACTTATTTATCTCCATATAGCCACAAGCAGCAACATTTCCACATTCCTATGGTGAGGCTCAAGTCGATCCATAGGACAATCTCTCTCTCTTTTGTATGGCATTTTGAATAGCAACTGGCACAATGTTACAACTGTATGTTGAGTTTGGTAATCCATGCGATAGCGTCAGGAGTTGCTTGATGCGTAACATTCGAGGGCTCTCACAAATCTTTCTGGACTCATGTGAATGGCAATCACTGTTGACTTTGCACAAAATGGTACTTATTGTAATGACTACAAAGAGACGAAGAAACGAATCTCCTCCTGGCCGGGGATTTGAACTTCAACCTTCCAATTGCAATCCTGACACTCTAAACTCCTATGCCACCCGGGCCAGATCGTTCAACACATTTCACAGTGTTACGTATGCACCTCTTGCTATTGGAAGAAGCAAGCTTCATAAAACCTTTAAAACGTCTAAAAATAGATTTCTGAACCAGGAGTTGAGGTGCATAGAGTCTTAGAGGGCAGGCAAACATAGCTGGAAATGTTGGCGGGTGGGGATACAATTTCAAGGACCCCTTGCGCTCCCTCGCCTTGGCCTCTGCCGTTATCTATACATCAAGCGAGGCGCGTGATCACACATATGGTCCCTACTACCCCCACCCCCTCAACAGATTTTTCATTCACTCGACCCCCTGCA